TTTTTCTGCAGTGCCAATTCTCTCATTTTGCTAATATTGAAGAAAATCATTAGTGATTCAAGCACAAAAACTTTGAATTATGCAACATGTAATCTGGAATCAGCTGTTTATTACTAGTAGCCAAAAAAGATCATGTTTTCCAGCACTATTTTCAGTACTAGCTTTTGAAACACTATTGAATTAAGGAAATTTAAACACTATTACTTAGTCCTTTCGATAAAAAGTGCAAGTTAACTCATGGGTATGAGTGTATGACTAAATTTAACTGCTCATTTCATTAGATTTTAGAATTAGACAAATTGCTTAAGCTGTTTTTATATGATTTTCTCTTGCGCGAAAAACGATATGAAGACTTATCTGGCTATTTGGTGATGATCTTTTTCTTATCATCTTTTAGCTCAACATTGATATTAAACATGTAGGAATTACAAGGAACTTATGGCCAAGTGCACCATGTTAGGAAGAGGTGAGGCCCGGTGCCTTCAGAAACTCGAGAAGGCCAATGACAAGATAAAGAAGTTGAAGGTAGGTTAGTTAAAAGCCTGAGCATATAGCTCTGTCGAAAAAAATACACTTTCATATTTGAGACTAACCTTGTCCCAAGTATTTTTCAGTTGAGACTCCAAGAAGTGGAGGCTGCTTTGGAATTCAAAGAGAATGAAGATTTGAGAGTGCTAAAGCATCTCGATTCCAAATTTAACATGGATTCACACAATACAATGAAAAGACCTTCAAACCACTGTGATATAGATGAAACTAATGCCATGCCGGACATCTCATTCTGTTCAAGTAAAGTATCTCCTCACAAGCCACTAAGTAAAAGAAGCACGTTGGATGAGAATTTACCTGCCTGCACGTCTGATACCAAAAGAGAAATGCTATTGGATCAACCAGAAATGACGAGATAGCAAAAGAGAAAGAAAAGTAAAAATACTAAAATCATAAAGCAGGCACCCACATGAATTGGATAGAAAGTAGAAACTCAATATTAAACCAAAACAAGAATAGTTGTTGACCGTGGGCAATAAAATCAAACCTACTCTATGCAACAATTAGGTTTTGTTTCCCTCTTTAAAACAAGTCAACAACTAGCAAGACTGTTATAACATATTAATTGACAACCTATAGAAGAAACTAATTTTTCCTTCTCTTAGACCCCAATTTTTGATCATCCGAAGTGCCCTCTTCCGCGGCCGCTCTCAAGTAATCATCGATGCTGAAACTATCATCGACATCGGCATCAAAAGGAAAAGGCTGTAGATTATTATTATTATTATTATTATTATTATTATTATTATTATTATTATTATTGTTACTATTCCTACTTCCAAAGGTCCAATCAAAATCTGGCAGTTGGCATCGAGAATTCCACATCAACTGTGGCTGACTGACGAGGTGGTGGTACTGAGGATCATAGTAAAGACTATTCGGACCATAAAAGCAGCTCACATCAATGGGTGTGGGATTAAGAATAGGTGCTGGATTATTTATAAACGAAGAAGGCTGCTGATATTTATCCATCATCAACATGTGATCTTGGCTTTCGCAAAAGATATTGTTGTTGGGGAGTTCAACAACATTGTTGCTACTCTCGTCGTTAATGTTGTTGTTGCTGTTGTTGTCTTCATTTTCTTCTTCTTCCTCATCGTTTACATCTTTCGGTTTTCTTTTCGGAGCCCTTTCTATCTTTTCGTATATTCGGCACAACACCCAATCATCCAACTGCAACAAATAATTCAAATGTAACATATATAGAGAGAGTAAAATAATTAGAATTTTTTTTATCTTAAAAAAAGGAAGTGTATTGAAGTATATATGAGTACCCTCATGTTATTGGAACCGGGGCTTTTGGAAGGAGCATTAAGCTTGTACTCATGCATGATCCAATTGGTCTTTCTTTCGTTTCCACTTTTAGGTTTGCCTTGATAGAAAACCAAAACCTTCTTCCTTCCCACAAGTTCACCTTTCCACATGATTAATTTATCGGCACCAGTGGCCTTCCAATACCCTATTCCGTTAACCGAACGCGTGGGCCGACTTCCGTTTGGGTACTTTCTGTCGCGCGGAGTGAAAAAGTACCACTCTTGATCTCCAAGTTGAGGATACTTCTCTTTTATTAATTAATTATATAGGAAGGAAAAACATTAACAAAGAAGAACATTATTATTATTATTATTATTATTATTATTATTATAGAAAAAGAAGACGAAGAAGAAGAAAGAAAAAAGAAAAGAATATGCCCCCGCTAAATCACTGCATGAATTACACTATTATCGTGAAGAAAGAAAAAGGTGAAATAAAATAAAATTGGTAAAGAAGAAGAAGAAGGTGAAATAAAAAAAGAAGAAGGAGAAGAACATTAATATTATTATAGGTAAAGAAGAAGAAGAAGAAGAAGGTGAACAAAAAAAAAAAAAANGAAAAAAGAAAAAAAAATGCCCCCGCTAAATCGGACTAAACTGCTTAGCATAATTCCAACACTACTGCCACACTATTGACTTATGAACTATACTATAATCGTGTATTTATATTCCTAACAATAAAAAAGAAGAAAAAAAGTTGTAATGCATAGGTGAAGAAGAATCATAGGTATAACAAGTTGTACGTAATTTAGATTCTTGTAAAGAACGATATATTCAAAAACCAATAAGTTACTAAATAACTTTTTTCAAGAATTTAGGAAACGATTATCTAATTTTTTGCAAGAAAAGTATAATTAGAATATATTATAATATACCAGAGAGGTAGACGGGACTGTATTTGTAGAGCTCAACTTCATTAATCTCGGCAACTGGAATTGGCTGATTGTTGACTTTCTTTGCCAAGTATTCTAAAACGAGCTCTTGGTCGGTGGGAATGAATCGGTAACCTGGCGGGAATTGACACGAAGTTGAAGCTGATTCTGTTGACCTTTCTCTCCAATCATAATCTGAAGCTGAATTATGATTATTATTATTATTATTAGTAACAGTATCATCATCAATATTGTTATTCTCCATGCCTACGAATTAATCCTAACAATGGCACTTGAAAAACTTAAAAAGAGATGAGACATAAATTTATATTGCTTTAATTTGGCTTCACGTAGGCAAAAAATAAATGGCTTTTGGACCAATCAACGCCTAATTCGTGTGTTTAGTACAAGTAATTTAGAGTTTGTGTCGATTTAGGTCTTTGGTTTGGCTATTTAATATTATTATTTTATTGTTGGGGGAATATTTTATCAAACTTTATCACTTTATATTTTAACAGAATACTTATCGCATATCTGACGAGATTCCTTTTCTTTCCTATGTAAATTAGAGATAGGTAAGTCGAACCATTTCTCCAAAATGATGGGCGCCCGGCCGATGAGAGCATGTCATAGAACCTTCAACATGACGCAATCTTCCGACAACGGCGGCAAGCAGACCTTCCCCCTTCCAGCGGAGCAGTTCAGGCCCCTTCAGTCCATATTCCGTCGGCGGCTGCTCAACGGAATCGGCGCCGCTTCTCTACTGGCCGTCGGCGCCAATCTGGGGGGCGTATCGAGCTTCCTACTGAGCTTCTCGCCGGAGGCTTCTCGGAGCCTCAAGCTCGACGCGCTTTATCCGATCGGCGGCTACAGCCGGTACATAGATACGAATGAGGGATTTGGTGAGTAAGTACTGCTGCTACTCCATTTAATTGTAGTACCATTATTAATTTTAATTTTTTCGAAAAATTAGGGTTATTGATTTGGTGGAACAGAATTTGTGTATCCGGAGAGTTGGTTAGGGGATCAGACGGTGCTGTACAGAGCAGCTGGAAAGGCGGAGAAGCCGGTGGATGCTCCGCCTCTGGGTGGTGGTGGTCGGCGGCGGAGGAAGGTGAATGAGCCAGTGGTAGCTTTCGGTCCGCCGGGGTCCACGGGAGAGCTGAATGTCAGCGTGATTGTATCGACCGTCCCCATCGACTTCTCGTAAGACTGCGTTTATTTTTTATTTTTTTTCTTAACGATGGGTCGACCCGTCTAACGGTTAGGCCGCCTCACACGAGAATTTGTGGATTAACCGTCAATCTATCAATCTATTCAATAGATTGATACCATTTTGTGCCATCCCTCTAATTGATGCTAAATTAGCGGATTGGAATTCATTTAGGTATTTGACGAATCAAATCTGATGAGCTTGTCTTGGGAAGAGCAGATTAAGAAAAGTGCATAAAATAGTCGGAAAAGAGCTAATCGGCTTCTTTGTTAGATATGCTAGTTGCTGTCCTACTCCAAATTGACATTTATTAAAGAATTGTGTGGATTGTGTTCGTCTATTACTTATATACCCAGCATATGCTGAAATTAGTTACAGATACATGGTAAATCTTGTGTGATGAAATGTTTATGTGTTTTGTAGCATTCCCTTTGATGAGCAGAAACATGTATTTGTTCATGCCATTATTTTTAAAACACCCTTAGTCGGCATGTGTTCTTCATACGATAGTTGGAGATGGTTATAGTTTTTTCGTGTCTTTTTCCTTGTTATTTTCAGTTATTCTTAATCTTATGCTATACTTCTTTTGCGAGCAACTGTTTTCTTCCTCCCAAATCGTTATTGCATAAGATATCAAAAGAAGAGTGCCTTATTTTTCTGCAAGGCCTGATTGAATTCAGTGATGCTCAATTTAAGCTCGACTTAGAAATATTCTTAAGTTGAGTATGTGGCACTCTTGGAGACACTCAAATGAGACATGCTGTATTCTTGTTATAGTTGGCTAGTTGTATTCACGTGGTTCATCTATGAGATTATAAGTTGTCACCATTATTTAGTATATGATTGTACGAATACGCCTTCTCAGGTTTTCTTCATTTCATGCCTTTTGGATAGTGTTACAATAATTTTTTCTCTCTTTTTGCCCCCAACAAATTGCAGGAGTATAGCTCCAAGTCTAAAAATGTTCATCAAGAAGGATCCAGCCTTTACAATATAGCAAATTCAACTGTAAATCCTGAGCCATGGTGGAATAATACGGGCTATGGTTCATTTTCCCATACATTAATGCGTGGAAATGGGTCTGACTCGTCATCCCTTGAACAATCTGTGGATGCTCATTCCCTGTCTGAAGGTGGAGTTAATGAGGAAGATAATACTCAGAAAAAATCACCCAACGCTAATCGACTCCACTCAGGTACTTTGCTTCAGTCCATTAGCTTGCATCCAAATATGGTGTTTTTTTTTGTTGGATTTTTCCCAGTCTTCTATGATTTTCACTATGTTTTTTTTTTCTTTTTTTTTCATTTCAGATAGAATCTATAGGCCGGAGGATTCGAATCTCCAGCAAGTTGAGCAATCCTTAAATCCAGGACCTGTTGGAAGCCTTACACAGCCAGCACAACTCGAACTTGTTGGCCACTCAATTGTACGTATATTGTTATGAGAAATGAAAACACTGTATGTTTTGACTTTTGTTCGCCCTCTGAACTGTTACAGCAATACTGATGATGAGATTTGTGTTTCTCACTTATCTTCAGGCCTGCGCTTCAAATCCTTACGATCCACATTATGGGAGAATGCTGGCAGCTTATGGCCAACCTATGGTAGCCACATTAACTGGAAATTTTCTGTTTCATTGTTACCTAATTTGAGTCTCATCTTTCTTTTTTCGATTGGAATTATTCTGGTTCAATTTGAAGTGCCGGGTGGATGTCTAATTTTTTTCTTCTTCATTTTTTTTAGTTTAAAAAATAATTATCAAAGTCCCTCAGTTGTATGATTTGCATCAAGTGAGGATGCCACTGCCTCTAGAAGTGGCACAGGAGCCAGTTTACGTGAATGCCAAGCAATATCATGGTATACTGCGTAGGCGTCAATCGCGCGCCAAAGCCGAGCTGGAGAAGAAACTCATAAAATCTCGAAAGGTAATTTTTTTTTTCTTCTAATCAGTAAATTTCCAATTGTACCTCATGGCTAAACCAATTAGTTGATAATATAATAATTTACTTTATTAAAATCTTGCAGCCATATCTCCATGAATCCCGACACCAGCATGCCATGCAATGCTGATGGAGACAAGAGGCTCAGGTGGCCGTTTTGCCAAGAAATCTGATGGAGACACTTCTAAGGCCTCAGAAAACACCAAATCCATTGACACATCAAGATCAGAGCCTATGTATGAGATTCAGTCAAACCATGCACTCGCCATGCAATGAGGTCACAAACATGAAATTAGAAGAGGAGTTTGTGGATAAAACAGGGCGGTGTACAAAATAGTGTGCTCGTGTTCAGAATCTGGGCTTTGGCTTTCCTTAGAGGTGGCCGGCAACTCATTCTTGGCTGGTTTAACAATGGGTGGTGGTCTGTGGAAGGGGTGTTGTGTGTTGTTTTTATTTGCTTTTGTACAAAGTGTAATGTAGTTATTATTAAGCCGGCCATGAGCAGACGGAAAAATAAAAAGTAAAAAAAGTTGAAAAAAATAAAGAAAGAAAGATGATGAAGAAGAAACCTAGATTTAATCAAACGTTGAACCCTTGTAAAGTCTAGTGAGATGAGTATTTTGCGTGCTTTTACTTGTTACATGAAATTGTTATTGCCATTGCATAAATGCAGTAAAACCTATCCTATTATTGCTGCAGTAAAATCCATTCAATTGTTAATGCAAGCCCTGAGGAATTCAGCTAGGTTAATGTGAAAGATCAGAATTCTTTTGGCATTTCAGCACGAGGAATAGCAAGACAATCACTTTGGCAATTCAAATTCTAAGAATGATGTCAAATGCTTTGTAGGATCATACAAAGATCATGCTAATATCAGATTTATGAGTCTGTCTTGTGTTTGCTAACTTCAAATACATTAGTTGAGTTATTTTTCCGAGTTTGTCACATTGAACAACATTTGCTTGTCTATGATACCAGACAGGGCAACGCTGGGGCCTGGGGAAAACCCATGGGGTTTTACCTTTATAACACAAAAACTGGTTTATCTATATACTACTCTAAAAGATCGAGTGATTTTATAAAAATGAACTACCTAAAAAAATTTTGCATTGATACTTTTTAATGATAAATTAGTAATACATTGATACTCGTCATATCTTATATTATTAATTAATAACTAATATTTTATTTAAAAATCTTTTGCACTGTCATATTTTTCATGATAAATTAGTAATACACTAATATCCATCTTATTTTATAAAGCATTCCATATCTCATAAATCTTTAAAAAAACTGATCCAACAAAAACAACATAATAAATACTTATAAAAAATCTAAATATTTTGAACTATTTATATACTTATCTCCAATTTTAACAAAATGATAAATCTTGGGAAAAAAAAAACAACTTATTTGAGGGTTAACTTGTATATAATAAATAAATTCAGAGATACATATTTAACTTTAATTAAGAGAAGATAGCCAAAATTTTACCGAAATCATTCACAGGTGAAATATACACATAGTCTAACAAACTAGAAAAGTGGAACAATCATTTAGCTACTTCATTATGTAAGAAAAATAAACTCATGTATTTAGATTTAGAATTAGAAATTGCACCTTATTAGGGCTTCTCATTCGGTCGAAACAGAAGCGGATCGACCGAATTTTTGGTTAACTGGAACTTTGGTTTATCCATTATATGAACTGAAAATTGAACCGAAATTTATGGTTTGGTTCGGTTTTTAACCGAAAATCCAAATTGGTTCTGTTTTTTATTAATTGCAATAAATAATTAATCTTCTCAATAAATTATGAATTTTTAACCCAAACCAAATTTGATTTTTTTATCCGAACAAAAAAATATGACTTTTTATCACCTTGTTGAATCTTCTCGATAAATTCTAAATTCTGCTCTAATGAAGATCTCGGACCCGGACCATGACTTAGATCATGAAGGAGCCAAACTTGAGTGCAAATTAATGCTTGAGCTATTTTAGGGGTCATTGAAACTCGAAAATCATAAATCATTGAATCAAATTAATGCTTTTATAGGTTATATTTATAAATAATTCATATAAGTATATGTATATATAAATCAATTTTCAGTTCGGTTTGGTCAACCGACCACTATTATCCAAATCAAACCGAAAAAGAAAATGTAAACAGAAAACTGAACCAAATATTCGGTTTCTATTCGGTCCAAACGAATTTTTTTGCTTCGACCGGTTCGGCTGGGTTAACCGAATTTTATGCTCCCATACACCTTAGTCTTATTGGATTGAATTTTGATAAAATAAATTTATTTGATTGTATTTTTTTTTTCTAATTTTTGTTCCTGTGCCTATAAACTTAATGAATCATCACCTGAACATTAGGTGGTTTATATCAAGGTGAGTAATATTTTAATTATTAACACTTAAAATGTTGAACTTCTTCATTCAATAATTAACTAAAATATATCAAGATATTTTAATTATTACTACTTTATTTGAGTAATTCATTTTAAAGATGAGCACTAAATAAACAATGAGAATTAAAATTTTTACATATTAAATATTTTATTTATTGATATTATCTTCAGATTCTTAACAAATGAAAGAGTCTATTTGACTATAAGTATCCTATCAAATAAGATAACTATTTCAGTAATATTTATTTAATTTGTAAATTTATTAATACTATAAGTAAAATTTGAAATCGATATTGTTTGTCTTCATAATGACCACAAAGTATAGAAACATTAGTATTTTTCAAATAACTTGTAAAAATGAATAAATTGTGTAATAGTATAAACATTTATTATTGAATGATTGTTTTGCAATCTAAACTTCTAATATACTCAATTCCTGTGCTCAAAATAATATTATAACAATTTTATAAAATTTTATAATGCTAAAACCTATTCTGTTTATTTTCACGTTGAATGAGATATCACTTGAGCAACATGATTTAAATTTGATTATATGATTATCTATTAATTAATTATGAATATCTCGCGAATTATGATATGCTTATATACATTGAAAATTAATTAATTTTTACTAAGAAATCATATCAATATATTACCGTTACTCATCTATCTATTAATTTGTATTATTATAATAAAGCACTATTTTGTTTTCAAAATAATGTACGAAATAAGAAATTTATATATTTGAGTATAATAGTAATGAGAAAATTGTACTTATATATTAATATGAAGATATAAAATTATGTGATATGTAATAAGGCATATGGCCTAAAAAGTTCTATACTTAATTTTATGTATTTTTAAACAAATATAAAAGTTATATACATATATATTAATAAAATATGAAAGAACAATATAAATTAAAAAAATATTAAAACGGATAAATAATATTAAAATTATAATTAAACAATTACTAAAAAATATGAAAAAGAAGTAATAAATAAAAAATTTTAAAATTAATAAAAATAAATATAAAACTTTTAAAACTTGTACTTATCGATGTAAACAAGCTGATTGGTAAAAAGATTTTTTATTTTTTGTGTTTATTAATTCTATGTGCAAGTTTTAAGTGATAGACAATATTTCAAAATTAAAAAGAAATATGATTATTGTAATTTTTAATATCTTTTTATTTGCTACTAGTTTTTTTTAATATAATTTATAAATATCATATTGCATATATACAATAATAATTATTTTCATTATTTCATATTTAACATGTAATGAATGTAACTCAATAGAGAAATTAATAGGTAATCTCGAGATAAATAATGAACGATTTCTAAACAAATGGACTAAAATGTTCACGTGCTTAATATATTTTTAATAGAGAAAATGTAAACATAATTAAATAATAACAAAAACTACTACAAAGGAATTTTAATATTGAAGATGGAATACAAAAAAAAAAAAAAAAAAAAAAAAAAAAAAAAAAAAACTGCAGTGTGGGGCAATTTTTTCGGCAACAACAATCAACATTCTCAGCCCACGAGAGAAGTCCAGTAAGGGAGCCCAGTTGAGTGAGGCCCAATTTCTACAGCCCTTTGTGCAGCCCGCGTGATGCGGATGTGGTCATTGACCCCGGCGAACCCGAATCGAGCTAGACGTAACACACGATCCTTCATCACCGCGTCGGTCCGTGCTCCTCACAACGAGTTACCTAATAATCAAACTCCTAATGTTGTGTTCAAAGAGGTTTTTATTAATATATAATTTTTTCTTGACGAACATTTTATGATTGAATATTGTTTATATGTATTAAACTCTCATATATCCTAATGCATGTCAAATTATAATATTTTCTAAATTCATATACTCCGTACATCGCACGAGATATGCACTAGTAAAAGTTTATGGAAACAACTATTCCTATCAAATGAACCGACTTGATTGTGGTCAATCTTATAATTTATTACATAATTTTTTGGCAAGAAGGGTGAAAGATGAATTATAATGTGGAAAACTTATATGTTTAGTGGTGGATTAAAATTAAAATTGTTATTTTTACTTTATTTTATTAAGAGAAGATTGTTATTGTTATTTTCTCTCTATTTTATTAAGAGAAAAATGTAGCATCATATTATATTTCTAAATAATGATTAGATTAAATTATTATAAAATTAAAGTGAAAATTTATTCACATCGCGCTTTGATATTTGTTATAATATGATTGTTGGGGAGCAACTAGATAAGTACGATGATGAATGAAAATAATATAATACAAATCCTTAACATAATCTAATATTCCAATCCAATCTTTTCGGGTAGAAACACGAATTCAACGCTGATGGGCCTTAACTCACACTATTTATTATTTTCTTATACATTTTTTTTATTCAAAAGCACTATAAATAATACTTTATGGGAACAATCAATAATCAATAATCAATAATCAAATCAATAATAATTAATCAATAATCAATAATCACTAATCAAATCAATAATCAATAATCAATAATCAAATCAAAAGAAAAAAAACTGTACCCCTTTCCAATCAATCTCCATCGCGCCCATTATCTCCCTCTAATTTTTTCAAAATTTCGCCATTACCCGCTTTTCTAATTTCCTCTGTTTTATTATGACCACTAAAACCCGAAAAAAAAATAAAATAAAAATCTGCAAGCAGCACACTGGATAATTGAGCTATGGTCGGACTCAACGACAATGACAGTGCCAATGCCAATAGAAATTCATTCGCGAAAACCATTTGCTCGATTTGTTACGAGGATTTCAAGCCCTTAACCGAGGACCTTCAATCTATCTCTGTTTGCGGCCACGTTTTTCACGAGATCTGGTATGTTCCTGGCCCTTTCATTGTCTTTCTTAGAGAGTTGCAGACGGGTCCCTTTCATTCGTTTCTTGTTTCATTTGGATTTTTGCCATCTTGAAGGAAGTGAAGCTGTTTTGATGTAAACATTTAATGGGTTTTGCTTTAAAGAAATATTTTACTATTTTGTTATATTGTTTCATGCGAAAATTCGCGTTGTCTTGTGCTTGTATGGACGAAATTGGCTATTTCTTGGAGAAAGGAGTTGCAGATGAGTCCCTTTGTTTGATTAGTGTTATGATATAAGCATTTACACGGATGATGTTGTTAAGGATTTATTTTGCAATTTTCCTAGTGACTCAAACAACATATATGTTCGCTGTTTCGTATAAATTCGAGCTGTCTTGTAGTTGTAATGAGGAAAATAGGGACTTTTTAGAGCTGGGACTGTATACTTTGTATTTCATGCACTTGAAATCAAATGGGTTTGAACATATTATTCAATCTTTCAAGGCTCTGGTACATTTTTGGTCGTTTCGTTTTATTTCTTGGAAAAAGAGTTGCAACTGAGTTTTTTTCATTCATTTAGTACTTACCGTCTCCTCTCGATTTTACCATTTTGAAGGAAGTGAAAAGCTGATTGCTTTGATATAAGCATTTAAATGATCTTTTTATTTATTTATTTACTTTTTTTTAAAGGTGTTTTTTGCAGTTTTGCTCTTCTGGGCATTCACTAGTGCTTTATGAGCTGTTAGAGCGATCAACGCACGCGGCATTGAAATTTTTCTATTGTTTCACATAAATTCATGTTGTCTTGTAGCTGTATGGAGGAAACAAACTATTTTTAATAACTGATTTTTTAGAACCGGGGCTGTTTACCTTGATTAGATTAGTTTTATGCACTTGAATTCAATGGATTCGGACATATTATTTACTCAATTCCTCAATTACGCACACATCGAATAATGTGAAACTTTATATATTCCTTTGCCAAATCAAGAAAGGTTGCTCAACAATGATAGATGAACTCATTTGCTTATTATGAAATTACCTGTGAATGGGGATGAAAGGTTGCTCAACTATGATAGATGAACTCATTTGCTTATTATGAAATTACCTGTAAATGGGGATTAGATTGTTTACTTGAAATAATGAACTTGACTGACGTGACTTGATCGTTGGGAACTTTTGTAGCCTTCAGCAGTGGTTTGAGTACTGTCCCAATGTGAAGAAGCGGAGTTGTCCTATATGCAAGCAAACTTGTACCAATAAAAACGTGGGGCGTTTATATTTTCAATCTATTGGTGATCCAAATGAGTGTAGTCTATCTCAAAAGCCACAAATTTATGTGGAAAATTCCGAGGAGTTGCGCATAGAGGTCAAGAGGTTGGAGGGGAAAGTTTTTGCATTGGCTTCCACTTTGGAGCAGCAACAGAAAGAATGTATGAATGTAAAAGATGAGGTAATAATGGATTGAATTTTCAGTTGATAACTCGGCGTTTTTGAGTTACGCTCAAAAGGAATTTATATTATTCTTTTAAATTTGAAATGCCTTGATGATGCAATAATACCGATTGCCCAATGTAATGCTAATCTTTTATCGTAGCTCATCTCATGCAAGGAGCAACTGAAAGTAGAAGTGATTCTTAAAAACGAAGCTGTAACACAAAATGCAACCAGCCAGAAGTTGCTTCGAGTGAAATCTGAAGTGAGCAATTTACTTTTATAATAGCTTGTCACGACTACATGTGCCCATGCTTCATGAAAAACACATCAATACTTACTATACACTTATCAATTGCAGGAGCTTGACAAGTTGAATTTAGAATGCATGAAACTGAAGGAGAGAAATATGGCTTTGGCCAGGGAACTTGCAGCAATTAAAATGTATATGAATCTATTGTTGTCTCTTTTGTCCTTTTTTACATGCCTCACTGAAGCAGAATTTGTAAATGCTGAAAGAATTGCTTCCTTTTGTTTCAGAGCCTGTGATGTGGACTTGGAAGAAGATCAAGTTCTGAAGCTGGCGTCATTAGGAAATGATTCAGGCAGCAAAGAAACTGTTGATGTTCTGAGAAAATCATTGTTGATTAGGAAGAAGTAAGAGCTTTTGGCCCTTTTTTTTTTTTTTTTTTCTGCAGTGCCAATTCTCTCATTTTGCTAATATTGAAGAAAATCATTAGTGATTCAAGCACAAAAACTTTGAATTATAAAACATGTAATCTGGAATCAGCTGTTTATTACTAGTAGCCAAAAAAGATCATGTTTTCCAGCACTATTTTCAGTACTAGCTTTTGAAACACTATTGCATTAAGGAAATTTAAACACTATTACTTAGTCCTTTCGATAAAAAGTGCAAGTTAACTCATGGGTATGAGTGTATGACTAAATTTAACTGCTCATTTCATTAGATTTTAGAATTAGACAAATTGCTTAAGCTGTTTTTATATGATTTTCTCTTGCGCGAAAAACGATATGAAGACTTATCTGGCTATTTGGTGATGATCTTTTTCTTATCATCTTTTTGCTCAACATTGATATTAAACATGTAGGAATTACAAGGAACTTATGGCCAAGTGCACCATGTTAGGAAGAGGTGAGGCCAGGTGCCTTCAGAAACTCGAGAAGGCCAATGACAAGATAAAGAAGTTGAAGGTAGGTTAGTTAAAAGCCTGAGCATATAGCTCTGTCGAAAAAAATACACTTTCATATTTGAGACTAACCTTGTCCCAAGTATTTTTCAGTTGAGACTCCAAGAAGTGGAGGCTGCTTTGGAATTCAAAGAGAATGAAGATTTGAGAGTGCTAAAGCGTCTCGATTCCAAATTTAACATGGATTCACACAATACAATGAAAAGACCTTCAAACCACTGTGGTATAGATGAAACTAATGCCATGCCGGACATCTCATTCTGTTCAAGTAAAGTATCTCCTCACAAGCCACTAAGTAAAAGAAGCACGTTGGATGAGAATTTACCTGCCTGCACGTCTGATGAATGTAAGGAACAAAAGAAAAGTCCTTCCTTAATAAATAAGGACAAAAATATCACTTCTTCTTCTTCATTTGCACGAGGATTTCCAGATCAGTTGGCATCGTGTTCTGATAACAATGCAATTACAAAGGGATCTCATTTCCCAGCAAAAGATGTATACGTTGATACACAAAATGAAGTGGAAATGCTAAATTCTGCCAAGAGAGATGGATTTTCTTGCTTTCAGCCTATGCCGAAGCGTAGAAAGAGAGATCAAGCTGCTAAATTGCCGGCTAATAGCAATGATGATGATGATGTGATATGCTATGGTGACAATAATCCAGTGTCAACTTCAGAAGAACCCGGAGTTGGTCCTTCCTTGAATATTTCTATCAGAAATGAGATTAACCCATCAGTTCCAGTTTCTCAATCTGGTACACTTTGTGTGTGTGTGATTCATGATCATTGTTAATTTATTATGTTGATTTAAATGGTGCTTCATCAAGTTCCATAATGAAATTTTTGTCGCCATCTGCTCGATTTCTAGGTGAAAACTGCTTCTCGGGTGGTTTACTGGGTCCTGATGGTACTACCAACTGGCATTTGGGCAAATGGTGCAAGAAGGCTCAGAGCAATGGATCTTCACAACCATTTTCTGCTAAGTCAAACGGTTTAAACGCAAGTTCAGGTGAACTAATAGCTGTTGGAGCAGATGGTAGAGGTGGTAAAATCAAAGTTATACGGCCTCTTGTTCAGTCGTCATTGGTAAGTCTTCAATTGCATTTTTTTTGCTTTTGTAAATCTGAAATGTAAAAATTCTTTACGAATCGTGCTTCATAGCTGAGAATTATGAGGTACTCTACCTATAGCCATTATCAAATTTGCTACTTTCCTTTAAAGTTGCTGTGTTTAGTAATGTTCTTCTGTATTTGCCATACAGGATGGTAAAGATACTTCATCTTGTGCAAGAAAGTGCAATAATGGCACTAAACTTAATAAGTTGCAGCCTAGAGGACTCTTGCAGATCGAACATTTCTTTCAAAGGACTAACCAATGATCAAGACTTGATCTGTAGTTCTGTAATGATCAAGATTTAATTGAAGCATCATATTTTGATCCATATATTTTTAAAAATTACTCAAGAATTAATGTGATCCTTATGACTTTAGGAATCTATTTCTTTTTTGTTTTACAACTCGTATGATATTTTTGTGATTATTTTTGTTTGTAGCTTGGGTTTTCCATTAAAACAACTTTAACAACAATTTTTGTGTATTGAGTTTATAAACACGAAAAACATTATACAAATGAATTTTTTGAATCAAAAAAATATTGTGGATTACGATTTTTATTTTCTCCTCTGATTCTTCTCACGAACAATTTTAAGTTTTGGAGCGAAATCTTCGGCTTGATTTTCTCCTTGGTTTTGGATCAAATGTTGTTATATTCCAAGAACACGAAGAATGTCGGTTTTGAATGTACTAACGTTATTTGGAGGCTTCGCAGCTTGTTTCCGAATCAAACGCTTGAACGCGCTTGAATTTTTCTTCAAATTTTTGAATTTTCAAGAACAGTTGTATCTTGTCGATAGAATCTCTAGAGCTTTTGAACTTTGTCTTTTTGGGCTTTAGGGAAATTTTTTTTATAGGTGTATGAGAGAAAATCTCACCAAATTCAAGAATCGTATTATAGAATCGTAGGACGTGATTTGATTGGTCCGTGATGATTCACATAAGATCTTTTGGATCTATTTAAATTTCCAAGATCTTTTAGAAGACATGTGATTTATTTACCAGAAATAAGATTTGACACTTGACATTATTTGATTGGTCAAGAATTAAAATATTAAAATATCAATTAATACTATTTAAATTTAAGAATTAAATATATGGAAATTTCTAAACTATAAATAGAAATATGACTTGATTTTTTAATAAATTAATTTCTACATAGTGCCATTTAATTGGCCACGAATTTTCTTTATCTACAAATGTCCTCTCGAGACTTATTCACGGACGACATATTTTGAAGTGAATAAGTCACGGCAATTGAGTCGAGGCACTTAACTTGTGGATTTGAAAATTGGGCCTTCATATCATCTATCAAACCCAAAACATTTTTTATGTGGAACCATGTCCAATTCTTGCACATGGCATGGGCTTATTTGCTTAATATTAATTCATGAAGCCCACAAATCAACTATTCAGCCATACTTGGACGAAGTGGACAAAAAGGAGTATTTAGCCACTAGATCCATCCAACCAATATGAATAGGAATATTTTTATGATAAATGCTATAGGTACATAATGATATACATAGAGGTATACATAACACTCACATGGAGTGGGTCTTACCAAAAATAAAAAATCAAGTGGACCTCACTCCATGTGAGTGTTATATACATTAATTATGTATTTGTAGTATTGTTCTTTTTTTATTCACCTCCCTTCTAAGGATCACACGCATTCACCATTAGGGATCACAACTTGCCATATGATTGGTGCCAAAATTTTTCATCTTCAAATAATAAGAGCAACAACAAATATATCCTTTCCTTGGACTATTCTTTGTTTCGATTGTTCTCCGTTGGTTGAGGCCGGCTGATTTGTCGTGGAAGGGCCTTGTGTGTTTTTATCTTTGTTTTGTGTTGTAGTAGGCTTGTGTTTTGGTTTGGGCGCTTTGCCTGTGTGTTTATGTCTTGTGTCTTTGGTTTGGGCATTTAGCCCCTGTGAGCCCGAGTGTCCATTTATTATCCTGTTGGGATCAGACACTCGTGTATTATCCCATTGGGATCTTTTCGTAGTTTTTGTTGTAGTTTTAATTGTTGATTTGTGTGGTTGCGAGTTTGGTATTCTAGCTCTGCTAGATTAGGCTCTAGGCCATCATTTGGATCTGCCTCCCAGTTTTGTCCGTCTTTGATTGTACTATTCAGCCTTTGGCTGTTTTTCTTTGCATTTTGTGCGGTTTTATTTATATAGTACATCTATCGTTTAAGAAAAAAAAACAAGTATATCCTTTCCTTTTCTTTATTTAAACACGTGGCTCATATGCTAAATAAATAACGGTGATTCATCAATAACATGCAACAAAACGTGGAGAATACATTAAACTGTACTCTGTTTCTTTTTATCATCATCAAACCAGTTTCAACATACCAATATTTTCTTTCCAATATCTAAATACGTCCAGATTTAGAAATCCTATAACCCAATTCCTCCTCATATTAAGAGATTTTTTTTTTAAACCCGAAATAAGATTTGTCACTTGCCATTATTTGATTGGTGAAGAATTAAAATATAAAAATATCAATTAATTAACTATTTAAATTTAGGAATTAAATATGTGAAAATTCCTAAAATATAAATAGAAAATATAACTTGATTTTGTAATAAATTAATTTCCACGTGACGCAATTTGATTTGCCACGAATTTTCTTCATCTACAACAACATTGTTTTTGATATCTTGCAGTTTGGATCGGACAAATTATACGAGCTAAGAGCTAACAATTCCTGTTAAATTGGGTTATTCTTCAGTGTGTTTGGTATAAACCTTAGAGCATCTTCAATGCTCAAATGTGGTTGTGGTAAACTACATTCCACATTAACACATTTATCACAACTTTCAATCCTCCAATGTATAATGTGATCACAAATATTGTGGTGTTGCGAACATAATTAATGTCTACAATGTTGAGAAGAATGTGTCATCCACATTCTACTCCACACTCTAACTAGCCAATGAATAGAAGAGAAAGATTATTCTTACCATTTTCAAGTTATGTAATTAATTTTCTTAATTCATATTAAAATTTTAATATTTAGTAAACAGATAATATTGTAATTAGACTACATTGTGCATTGGAGATGATTTTTAAATTTAACTAGTACTATCCCGTGCGATGCACATGACAAAAATATTAAATGAGTTATTTTCACAGACTCGGTCTGCTTAAGTCTAAAAAGTAATAAGATTATCATCTATTTTGCACATCTCTTTTAATGAGCGTTAAAGTTTAGAAAACAATAGGGTTATAATCTATTTTTCGTCTCTCGCTATATTAAAAAAAAAGAAAGGCTTTAAATTATATTTTATACTATATTATTGAAGATTGTATAACATAAGGGAAAATACCAACAAAAAGGAATCGATTGAAAGTTTTATTATCATTTATTAAAATTATATCATAACTAAACAAATAATATTAAAGTATTAAAAAAATAAATTGACTCAAATAATTGAACCTATTCATATAATATATTTTAAAAATAATAATAATTATCAATTTATTTAATAAACTCAAGAAAATTATAATTAATGTATCTTTAGTATTTATGTTTACTTTAAATTAATTAAGAAGTTATGGAAATAACTCATTTAAAAAACATTCAACCTAATAAGTAAACCTATTGCTACACATAAACGTACACAGCTTCGGGTGAAGACAGAAAAATTCTACAGGTAAAGGAATTCAGATTTTTTATCATGGTTTTTTCTTTCCTTATGTTGATTTCTGTACAAAGTCGATAAGGTTAGAAAGGAATAAGAAATTGGGGAAGAGAAGAATTTGAGAGGAAGAAAAGAGATTGTTTTGTGTTGCGAATGTGGGAAGATGGAAAATTAGGGAAAAAGAAGAAGAAAAATGTGGAGAAGCAAAGAGAAGATAATAAAATAAATCCACAAAAAAACCCATAACTACAGGGTTCTGATTTTTTGGTTGACCGATTCATGTAAAGATTTTATGGTGACCGAATTTTTGGCAATAAAATAATAATGAATTTGAAAAAAATGATAAAAAAAGAATGCATTAATATTCCTATGACTTTTCTTGTTACTAAATATAGTAAATATGATGGCTCTTTATATATATATAGATAGTTGTGAATTCAACATTTTTACTACATGGTTCACAATCTATTTAATATTTTGACACTACTATTGTTGTTTTAGGAGGTTTCACTAAAACTAGTACGTAACCCGTGCGATGCACGAACTATATTAATTTTGGGAAATATAGTGTAGTACCGGTGCGCAGTACAGTGGGGTTATTTCCTCAAATCTTTTTGTCTAAACTTTATTTAATATTTTTGTTTATAAATTAATAATTTGATTGTAATAGGAAAAAAAAGAGAGAAAAATACAAAGTACACAAAAAAAAATAAATAAAAAAATCATATATTATTAAACACTTCTCTGTACACAACATTATCGGTTTGATTTGCTTTCAAACCTTCTTCTCCAAAAATTAAAATTTTAAGACCATTTCTATCAGTAACACGGGAGGCAGCGACATATAACTGGCCATGACTGAAAATTTGTTTCTTCAAGGATAAGCCAACATGAGATAAGGATTGACCTTGACTCTTGTTTATAGTCATTGCATACGAAATCATAATGGGGAACTGCCTTCTTTGGAATTTGAATGGTACTCTAACATCCGAAGGAGTTATGGTCATTCGAGGAATCAAAACTTTATCACCTGCATGATCGCCAATAAGAATTTTACACTCGAGAACATGATTGGAGAGTTTAGTCACAACCAATCGTGTACCATTGTAGAGTCCCATTGAGTGATTCATGTTCCACAACAACATAACTGGAGTTCCGACCTTTAAATTCAACTCATGATTCGGTGTTCCAGAACACTTGATAGTATTCAAGAATATTTTGATTTTATTTTAGGGTAATTCGAAAATTGTGATGCCCATTTTACTTTTTCCAATAGATATATGTATTGATATTCATAAATTAAAAATATTTATTAAATAATATTTATAAATTAAAAATATGGAATCAATATGTAATATAATTTACATATATTAATTTATTGAAAATGTTATATGAAATTTAAATTGTGAAAAAATACATAAAAAATGTCTATTTAAAATTAACACACAACCATACGGTGCACCGTGCACGTAACTGATAATAAATTATATTATATTCATTTCAAAATAACTGTCATTTTAAAACTTTTATTCAGAAATTTGATTTGCTACAATGTAATTCCATAAAATAAATATTTTGATAAAAATTTATCATATATTTAAAAATCTATGTACATATATATTAAGTATAATTATAAAACTTATATTGTTTTATTATTTACAATAAGTTTATTTTTGTATAAACTATCCACATAAGAAAATTAAGTAGTTGAGTAATTTATTAAACTTAAATAATTGACTATTCCATTTACGTCCAAGTTAATATTGACCCGTAATTTATAAATAATTAGTTATTTGACTTTTGAAGTTGGACCCAAATTTGGACTACACAATAAATTCCTTTATACCTTCATACACACATATACATATTATCTCACAAGTTTCTAGAATTGTTGTCGGTTATCTTATTTTTCAAATTTATCAACTAATTTTCTATAATTAAATTATAAATTTTAAATTTCATTAATCAATATTTATTCGAAGATCTTTTTGATTTTCAGAAGGAATACATACCAATTTGTTGAATTATCACAAATATCTTATGGCAAGTTATTATGAGATTATGATAAAATTTGATTTTCATACCCATAACAAATAAAGTTCATACCACCTTTTTTTATTTTCAAAATTTCAAAATACACTTATATCCATACTAAATAAATTTAATACCATTTAAATTAAGACATTTCATGCAAAAATAAAAACACCCACTTTATACCATAAATTTGGATATCTATTAATAACAACACATTTCTTACCAAAACTAAAAAATGACCATCAAATACCTCAAAGAAATCGGTCACTTTATATCAAACCGGATTTATTAATTTTGCCAACTTTATACTATAAATGATTAATTAATTTCTAGAGGAGGGATTTTTTGAATTTTTTTTTAAATTACCAAATTTAGTAATGTTAAAATTTTTATGCGGGACGTTATCTTATATTTTAAGTAAATACAAACTTTTATATCTATAGATAGATAGATTGGCTTGATTCATAAACATATTTAAATAATATAGTAAATTAGTAATTTATATATATGTGAAGTGTGAATATTAAATCAATATTATATCATATATAGAAGAATTAATAACAACCAAAAAAAAATATCAAGCTTTAAAATATAGTCATAGTCATACCAGCTAAATCAATCTAACTCGAAATTTTCAAATTTTTGTAGCAATGAACATTGTTTTTTTTAACACAATAACAATTTTGGTTGAATCAAATCGGTTTGTTAGGCATAAACATTTTGGGTCCAACCTAAAAACCAATATATAAATATTAGTCGTATTATTCTATATAGTCTCATTAAATAATATTATATTTATTTAAATTTTCTTATAGTTCTCAATTTTTAAAATATAAGTGAAGAATATTATATTATACCTTTGTAGCAAAGCCTTCAACCAAATGCAACTATCCTCTCGTTAATTTCTTAGCTCTTCAAACATAATGGAGCCATTACACT